GTCCACTTGGTTCAGCATTTAAAGTCCCTTGTCTCCCTGTGAGTAAAATAAAATCCAACCCTTGGTAGAACTTTCACTGGATCCATGCAGAGAAGCGAAAGCGAAATGTCTGCTCCAATACACTGCGATGCGGGTGAATCAAAGGGAACCTACCAAGATATGCCAGGCAGCACATTCTGTAACGTGTGTCCTGGGGGCTACTACTGCCCACTTGGGGCCGAAGTTAGTTTTGATGCACAATACATCTGTCCAAAGGGATCTTTTTGCCCTAGAGGATCCAAGCATGGAAAGGAATACCTCTGTCCTCCAGGTGAACAGATATTGCGCAAGAGTTGAACTGCCCGCCGCTGGCGAAACGTAAGCTGTGCAGCTAAGTTGCAAGTTGCTTTGTCGCTCTTGTATGTTCGTATGTTCAGGTTTTTACAACCCATCACAGGGCATTTCGTCTGTACTCAGCTGTTTGCCTTGCCCTCCTGGGAAATACTGCAGAACTGCAGGCCTGGCTGCGGAAAGCGGAGACTGTGCAGCGGGTTTCTATTGCGCCGGCGGAGCCCGTTATCCTAATGAAGTGATCGACGGTAAGCTCAACCAACCCCCGCTGTTCGCCTCCATCTAGAGATATCCAAGTGCCACAAAAATCACAGTCGAGATAGTCGGTCTAGGATTAGTCACCGGCAAATGTGGTGGATTGCAGAATGTGTGTTCGAGTCGGGCGTTCTGGGGAAGGGAACTGGAACATGCACGTCAAGGGAAGATCCGTTTTCTTCAAAAGAGGAAGCCGAAGAGTTCTGTAAGAAGTCAGATGAATGCGTTGGGATCGAAGAGAAGGAGGAGTTGTTCTACGTCAGGTTAGTGTTCATTCTTTCCCTGCAAGCGCTGCAACCATTCATTGCTCCAATCCTAAGAAGACCCATGCATAGAACTAGCATGCTCTCTTGACCGCAGATGCGGGGCCGTGGAGGCTCCAGACGAAGGCGTTACAAGCATATTCTATCCAAAGCTCTGCATCGAGGCAGGTCTCTGCCCAATCGGATATATCTGCCCAGCAGGGACGGGTACACCCAAAAAATGCCCTGCTGGAAAATATTGCTCGTCCATGGGGCTTTCCGCTGAATCAGGGAAATGCGCAGCAGGCTTCTTCTGCGATGAAGGTTAGCAAGGGCTTTTAAGCCATCAATGCCCCTGCGTTTTTACTTCGACACGCCGTTCGCTGTAGCTTTCCACCTAACTGGAGGCAGCATGGGTTCGATGCCGCGTATGCAGGCTCAACGGAACCTTCGAAGGCTGCAAATGCATGCCCTCCCGGGTATTACTGTCCAGAAGGTACAGAATCAAAGAAGCCGTGCCCCGCCGGGAAATACTTGCCTGCATCGTACGCCACCTGGCCTAACTACTAAGACTCAGCGTTTTGCTTTATTTCACCGTCTAGTATTCATCATCCCACTGATTGCAGCCTAGATCATCAGGCCCGTTTCGTTATTTAGAGGGAAAGTGTCCGGAGAATCTTCTTGTGGAAACTGAAGCACACGTATTCTGATTGAGCGCAGTGAACCTTCTGTCTCTATAGGGGAGCGTGGGAAGCTGATCAGTGCCAAGACTGTCCGCCTGGCCAGTTCTGCGCACTCCCTGGTCTTTCAGCTCCTTCAGGATACTGCACTGCTGGTGAGAAAGATTGGCGCACTCCGAACAGCAATAAGAGGCCCAGCAGCTGTACGCGGTGTGCTGAGCCTCTCATGCACGGATGTCTTCGACTTTTGTGTTCGATGCGCTTGCAGGCTTCTACTGTGGTAAAGGGAGCTCAACTCCTGTCGATGCCTCAAAAATTTGTCCAGAAGGGCACTACTGCCCCGAAGGAAGTGCAGAAGCCCTTCCTTGCAGCAGCGGCACATATCAGCCGCAGGAAGGTGCAACGTCGTGCATCATGTGTCCAGAAGGTATGACGGGGGCTGCGGCAGCATTTCAGAGTCCTTCACGGATCCTAGTCAAACATCTTCCACTGTAGTGTGTTTGTATTGTTCTTAAACAGGGTCATTCTGCGCAGCTGGATCGGAAGAGCCTGAGCCCTGCCCAGAAGGGTTCTATTGCCCGGCTGGCACCCAACATCAGTACCAGTACCCATGTCCACAAGGGACATTTGGTAGCATTACGGGTGCAACGTCTGTAGAGAGCTGTCAGCTTTGCGAAGGAGGCCAAATGTGCAGCACCCCAGGAACAGGATCAACAGGAAACAACTCTATGAAGAACTGTCCAGCCGGTCAGCAGAGTGCTGCCGAATTTCTTCGCTTTCGTTCAAGACCCCTGGCGCGGCCCTTTTCTAGATGCAGTGTTGTATGCAGCAGAGAGCTAGCCATTGTCTATCCATTTCGGTTATTCATTTCTAGGTGGCCTATCCGTTTTTTCAAGCGGGGCAATGCTATAAATAGCTTGCTTTCGGTTTGTTGATGTCGCCTTTGTCTGTAGGATTCTACTGCCCTGAAGGAGCAGGTGCTGCAACCCCGACCAAGTGC